CGATGTTACGTGGTGCACACCCCCCCCCCCTAGCCATATTGCACCCTAATTGCTCATTGTGAGCACACATTTAGTGCTTTCATGATCCTTCCTCAGATTTTAGCAGCGCCATGCTTGACTTTCACGCCAGGGATTGGCCGGCCGTATAATTTTGATGATGCCGTGAACTAGGCGCCTTTCTCCGCAGTGTACACAACTGACAATCGAATAGGCGACAGGTTGGAAACTTTTTTGGTTTCCTGTTATAATTCGTTTTATTCAAGTATTAATTCTTATATCATCAGTGTACTTACATTTTTGAACAGTAATTATTTTTCTCTTTTCAAGAGGCAGATTTTTTGTTATTCCTGGTTGTGGTTATGAACATCTGATAGTCAAATACTATGCTTCGGACACTTCAAAGGGCTTTGAGAGCCCAAGTTCGACATGCTGCTACCGCAAGCGAAACAGGTATTGATATTTGGTTTCCTCTCATTCCTTTTTTTGTTTCCCTTTCTTTCCTACAAGCCTATTTTCTGTTCCCTTGCCACGTTTGTCGAAAGATTGTGTTTTTAAGCAGTCTCTACGTCGCCCAAGTTTGAAATCACTAGTGAACTGTTCGATGACGTTCAAAATCGGGTGAGCCAACATGGTCGGACAATTGCAAAAATTCTTATCACTTTCCAAGACAAGGATGGTACCAAAAAGGAGTTTCTGATGAACAAGAATCTCTCCACTCCTTATGACTGCACTAAGCGTAAGTGTTTCCTTCTGCAAACTCGATGTGATTCCGATTGTATTGGTCATTTTCAGATGTAAATATGCTGCTCGCGAAAAGATCTGCTTTAGCGATTATTACGTATCCTAATAAAGATCCCCAACTAGAAAGCATGAACGAACCTTTTCGTGATGAGTGTCAGTTTGAGTTAGCTGACTATCAAACGGAACAGTACGCTGAGGCTGTGAATCAGGTCAGTCGCCTTTTGGAACTCGCTTTTCGAAGTAGATATGTTTTTATGTTCAGACATATTGGCGGTCCTGTTGCGTTGTGCTTGCCGCAGGTCTAAAGAAAGGCTTGAAAGACAATGTAGTGATTTCTAAGCTGCATGCTGAAGGTAAGCCGTCTAGCTTGAATTTCGGCTACAAGAATCTTCATTTTGTTTTGTTCTTGATTGAATCTCTTTATTATCCAATTTCCTTGACTATGTTGCATTTGGTTAGGTGCTCATTTTTTTTTTGTTTTCTACCATTTTTGTTGTGGACGATGGTCAACGAACTTTTTAACAAGAATGTCAAGTTTGAAAAAAACCATGGTGGTGGGTCGTAAATCCGATCATTGCATTTTGGGTACCATGTTACCAGTAGCACTGCTAAGATCTACTCAACCTCAACTTCCGGTGATTTGCTGGCCATAGTCTATTAGGCTGGTGTCAGAGTCCGCGATCATCGCAGGTTCGCTGATTTTCGCGATTTGCGCGATTCACGCGATTTGCGCGAAACCTGCGACGGATCGCAAAAATTGCAAGTGTGTGAACATTTGAAACACTGAATATGAAACAAGTGGAATCATGAGCAGTCGTCATTCAGCCATCACTATCAAGCAGAAGTGGCGGCAGGATTGGAGAACACCTTGCAGTATTGATCGGGCACTTGTGATTTCCGTGACCGTCGCGTGAATCGCGAATCGCGAAAATCGCGAAACCTGCGACGGATCGCGGACTCTGACACAGTCTTAATTTTTACTTTTTAATCATCTGATAACACGACTGTTCGCGACAATTTTTGAAGTGTTCCCAAAAAGGAGAGGTGAACTCGTGGACGGAAAGCTGTATAAAAGTTTCTCTGGGCCCACAGCATCATGGGTAAGTAGGTTTTTTGGGGTGAATGATGGCGTTTGTGCGACATCCAAAGCTGAGCGATTGTACCAGCAACTGCATCCTTCTGATTACCATAGACTCGTTATTCAGTTGTCATTATCCTCTAATTATTTCGTACCCTTTTCAGTGCCACAATCTTTCTTCGCTGTAGACATCGAGAATTTGAGGAGTCAACTTTCGCTGGTATTCTATCTGTTTATTTTTGTCCTTTTCATGTATTTTAAAGCTATGAGTAGTTTGTAAATTTTACTTGTGGTGGTTGGGTAGGTACCACACTTGGCTCGGAGGATTTAGCATCTTTAGAATAAGGAATTTTCTGGGAAGTCCCGAGTGGGTCGTTTAGCTTCGTAATGCCAATTCCTCCTTACGAAAACCTTGAGATAAGAAAAATATTGAGTTTAACATCACTCTGAATGGTTCTTCTCAATGGTATATCTCTTGAGTAAAGTATTGACTTCTAGGATGACCTGAAAGACTTGGCCGCATTTGTTCGAGCTGATTTCATTGATAAAGGCATTTTATTCGAGACGGTGACGTTACCTCAGGAAATGGCCCCTGATTATGGATTTGATTCAGGGTAAGGTTTTCACTAGCTTCTTACTTTCGTTTTGGTATCATATCCGGAGATTGATGTCGTCTTCAATTTCTTCTGAAGTAGCTTACTGTTCTCTATGGAATTCTAGGGACTGGAGTTTATTTATAACGAGGTTTTCGGTTTTGACGAATCATACCTCTGCTCCTAAATGTGTTTCAATAGCTTTCTTCAAACTTGTGATAGAATAAATTTTGGTTTTGTATGTTGAATAGCTCACTTATGCTCGAAATTGAGTTAGGAAAGGATAGTTCAACTCCGCTATTGAGGCGAATCAGAGAAACTAAAACCAAGGAGAGCTATGGTAATGAATGAAGGGAAACATCACAAGATCAGGATTTGTCGGTCCACATTCGGGTACATCAGAAAAAGTTGTTTCAGCATGCGTCTGTGTCGACTGGGTGATTTCGTTACAAGAGTCGATGGTCCCGTGATCTCTCGAACTGACCAAATTGGTCGGTTTGCTATTGTAAAGGTGAGGCTTTTGTCATCTATAGTCCGCCCTATTTTACGCATACTTTCTTGTTGCTCTTATTTATCTCTATAAAAACCCCAGGCTTGGGACACAGGAAGGTCCTGAATTGGGTTTTCATATAGATTAAGTGCATTTTTAGTTAACCCTTTGACGACCGCCGTTATGAATGCGTCACTTCACTTCTTTCTAATTTTTTCATCAATAATCATTAACTCTCCAACAATTTCATTATTAGTAATTAGCACATTATTTCGCGGATTCGATAATGTATATGGGCAGTTTTGAAACATGAAAAAATGCAAATAAACAACGAAAAACGAGTCGCCTCCGAGTGAAAGTGTGGCCCACCGGCGGGCCACACGGTCGTCAAAGGGTTAAACAAGCTCGGGATGCTTTTTCTCTTTTATACTACTACTTCGCGTTTCTTCTTTATTCTCTATTTTGCTCAGAAGAATCACGGTTTCGTGCATGTCCTTTTTTTACTTACCGATTCCATAATGTGTGCCCATCCCGGCTTCACTTCAACTACTAGCTGTTTCCTAACTAAACTTCATATTTCGAACAGGCTCTGGCGAAGGAAGGGTTCACTCGTGTGGGAGGAGTTTCACTTCCTGCCGCTATGAAGTGCTCGTCATTCTCATGGGAAACGATAATGGATAACGCCAGAGATGTGAGTGATGCGTTCTCTTTCTTTACAGCTCATTTTTTATACTTGTATTTTTTTCAGAAGATTACGTGATGTGTATACGTTTCGAAGGATGTAGATTTTTTGTTATATTGTTATAGGATTGTTTCATTATGATAAATTTTAATTCTATTGGGTGTTTCTTGGATGCTCTATGTCACACGTTCATCTGATCATTTCCACGGTATGATCCTTCCCTCTGAACAGATTTGAATAGCCACACAGATTCCTCTGCATGGCTATTCATAGCTGTTTATGCTTCCAAAAAAAGCTTAAAAGCAAAAAATTACTCGATGCTTTGGGTGCCAACTTGCCTAGAATTTGGGTAAGTGGTTCATTGGCCGTTTCAGCCTGGCTAAGCCTGTCTCAAAAAGCCTCGAACTGTTGACTGTCAGCGTCAAAATAAAACTCTTTATTATAAAATCTCTGAATAGCTACTTTGACTAGTGATAAGTTGAACTGCTACGTCATTTATAGATCATCTTCGTCACTGTCGTCTTTCCGAGGCAGCATGCGTTTCTTGTCCCCGTTGATATCGCAACTCATCTGCGCCAACCGTGTGCGTCGAAATCTTCTTAAACTAAGATGGTTATACGGTAGTCTCCATAAAAACGAAGGCTCAGCTGTCCTACTGGCCTGCAGCAACTAACCGAACGCATCGTCGGCATGAAATTCTGACGAAGTAGTAGAGAAGCAGCGAAACGAGGGCGCTGACCACGCCGATGGCGGCCGGGACCACTACATCACGATGGTATGGCTTCTTCTGGAACGACACAATAAGCTCATGAAGACGCAAAGTTTTTCAAGAGATAGTTACCTACCATCCACTCATCCAAGTCCTTTCGTAAGGTTTCGTAGCTTTCGCGAAGGTAGATGATTTCTCTTTGGATCGATCCACGCAGCCCCGTATATGTGATGTCAGTATCGTTCGAGAGGTCGGTGCTGGAAGAATGACTTCATATTGTGGACATAGAACAGCACGTAAGCATGCTCAACAGCTCAAAAATACACCCAGGTTTCTAACTAGGTTCCATTTACATTTATAGTGGCATTTTAATGTCTGCAGTTTATTTAACTATCGGGCTTCAAACAAGAACGATTTCTCAGCACGTCAGATTGGTCCACCGTACTCCACGTTGGCAATGTTCCGCGCTGTTGAGCACCGGGGCGCACAATCAACTGGGGCACTGATACAGCACTCAAAAGAAATCCATGGATGTGGCATTGCGCGTCCCGCGGCGTGCTTGCGCTGGTTGTTTAAGTTTGTTTACAGTAAAGCAACGAGCAACAAAATGGGGAAAGTAGAGCATAAGCCCGCAAAGGTGATCATGGGAACCTACTAGAGGTGGGCGGAGCGTTCTGCAAATGGGCGGCGCTCACCAAAAGTTTCATAACCGGTTTATAGAGACCACAGAATGCCGAAAAGAATAAATCGAGATGAGGCCATGACCAAGGTGCTACGAAAGCGTCTTTGAACTGAGCGGGGCTGCCCAGCAGTTGGAGCTCATCCCTAACTGAGTTGGGTCTACCAAGCCATACATCACAATGAAGCCTACATTCTGCGATACTAACTCACGAAATCTCTTTGCTCAAAGATCATATAAGTGGTTACCCGTTTAACTCTACGGTCAATGCGGGGAGCTAGTTAGCCTGCATCGTCAAACTGGTAAACATAAGCGAGCATTCTGAGCGCTTCTAGATTATTTGATATATACCCTCGCCTTCAAAAGCGAAAAACTGTTGGGTGCAGACCATGCACCACAAGTGACGACGGCCTTCACAAAATGTTAATGTTTTCTGCCAATGAAATGATTAGCCTGTTGCAGTTGTATTCTATCGATTGTCACTAATTACAACTATCATTTATCCAGAAATCAGCTATCACTATGAACAACTTCAGATCGTACTCATAGGCTGTCGTCATGCTTGTAGGCTGTTTGGTCTCACCGACACTTTTCTCTCTTTTGAAGGTGGAGACTTGCATGGAAATATTCATTTGAAGATCGTGGCCGATCATAAGCGAACGTAATTATTGTTTCCCACTGAAAAAATTACATCCGAAGCTTGGTGTTTCTTATCTTCGCGTAGTCGAGATCACTTGAAAAGGAGGTTAAAACAATCCACAATTACCGCGCTTAGGTACTAAGGAGATTCCGTAATTGAGACCTCAGATTTTCAGAATCTCTTTGCAGAATTTGAACAATTCCTGCGTGCTATCTTAGTTGGGGAGGGGACCACGCGGCGGCGCGGCGCTCTGTTTCGTCTGCTCTCCCAAAGGCTTAGTCCCAGGGGCAGTTACTATTTCGCCATCACGTGGCAGTTTCAAAATACGCGCCATCGAGGACTAAGCCTTGCAGGAGGAGACGAACAGAGCGCCGCGCCGCCGCGTGGTCCCCCCCCCCCAACTAAGACCTCTCAGTGGACGTGGCGACGACTGCTTGAGGTGAAGCTACAGTAGTAGGACGGGCAGTTGTAACAGTTGTGGCGGTAGTGACGGTTGCGGTAGGTTGTAGCAGCTGTAGCAACTGTAGCAGCCGTGGTGTGAGGAACGGTGGTAGTGAGAGGTACGGTAGCAGTGGGAGCACTCGACACGATTGTGAACGTTAGGAAAGCATAAAGTAAAAACACCATCCTGAAATCGTTCAAAAAATGATAGGAAATTTTGTCGGCAAAATGAAAGAACGAGCCAAAACTCCGATCGTACACGAAAGAAAGATTCCTCGAGAAAAGCGCTTCAAAACGGGTAGAATGGGTTGAAATCGACTCCTGAAAAGGGTACGAAGCCTTGGAAAAGGCTGGAAAAAACCACACCTACGGAGAAAAATTCTACTGACCAACATGGTCCAGCCTGGGAAGAAAACCGCCGAATAAAGAATCCATAACGACCAGGTTCTCCCGCGCGTTCTGCCTAATCGACCAGGACTTAGACCTACCACGACGCAACCTTCGGCGACCACCTTTGACTTACACTATTTTCACTAAAATTAGGTTTTGAAGAGCTTTTAAATAACAATATTTATTGACAGGCAGTAAAGAAAACAAAATACCATGACTACAACGTCATGTGAAACACGCGATGGCAAAAGTTCATGAAAGACACCACTGAAAAACAGACCTTTAAAAGTCAATAGATCAACAAATTTAAAGAATGAAATCTATGTACAGGAGAAGAATCCCCGGAAAGATTCTGCGTTTAATATGGCAGTGTGTCAAGAGATCTACTTTCCACCACTCAGGAACTTATTGAGGAAACCTTGGGCAAACTCGCCGCCGACCAAGCTGTTGATTTGACCCAGAATGACGAGTGGATTCTGAAATTCAGAATTGTAGCAATTGTGGTGTAGCATATTTCAGCATATTGTTTGGTGTCAGACTTTGCGAATCGAGCGATTCGCTAGCGTCGCGGTCGCGTCGCGGCCAGCGAATGGCTCGATTCGCTTACCGCGACGCGACCGCAGGACGCTAGCGAATCGCTCGATTCGCAAAGTCTGACATCGGCCTTACAGATGTTTTTGTGAAATGACAGTGAAACGAACTTGATCAACGAGGCCCGACACCTCTTCGCAACGCTTCATCGCCCTTTGCAGTTGTGCTCCGATCTGCAGGGATCCCAGGATATCACAGTTTGATATCGCTCGTCGAAGTGCGCCACATTGCT